CTTTATTTGGGGGGTCTAATTTTGAGGGTTCTTTATATATTCTAGACTTTAGTCCCCTGTTCAAAGAATAGCAGCCCAAAAAAAATCCCATTCTATAAATGATCTTTCTTAACTCTTTTGGTTGTTTCCTTTGTGATGAAGATTTTTAATCTGATATAACTCTATTTGTTGATTCTCAATGTTACTTCTTGTACAATTAGAGTTCTGTAGGGGCCGGGGAGATGGCTCAGCTGAATAAGCACTTGCCTGGCAAGCACAAGGGCCTGAGTTCAGTCCCCAGTTCAGGGGAAAAAAAAAATTAGAATTTTGTTCAGAAAAGTCCTTGCCTATACCTATTTTACTTATTTTATCTCCCAGTAGATTGTTTCTGTTTCAACATTGAAATCTTGGATCCATTTTCATTTTAGTTGAGGGCATAATGAGTTATTTGGATCTCGTTTTAATCTTTTGCATGTAGATAGCCAGTTTCCCCAGTACCATTTACTAAAGACACTTATCTTTCTGAAAAACAGGAAGATCACTATGAGTCCAGTCTGTGGAGATAGACCCTGGAGACCCTGTACTAAATACATTTTTTAAAAGTCAGTAAAGGGGGCTGGGGAGATGGCTCAGTAGAATAAGCGCTTGCCTAGCAAGCACAAGGGCCTGAGTTCAATCCCTGGTTCTGGAAAAAAAAAAAAGTCAGTAAAGATACTAGCTTTGGAGGCTATTTCAGGGGCATAAGTCATCCAACGATGGACACTGCACAACATCACTCGTGCCTGGACTCTGACAAGGCTGACCTCCCAGAAGTAGAGGAGAGGAAGGTTTGCCAGAATCTCAGAGAGGAGCTGGGAAGACGGACAGGGGAGACTGGTCAAGGGCCACCAAGCCACCCTTAGATGGGAGGAACAAATTCTTCTATTGCACAAAAGAGTATAGTTAACAGTAAAGTGTTATGCTTCTCAAAATAACTCTAATAGAGGATTTTTAGTGTTCTTTCTACAAAGAAATGATAACTGTTCAAGGTGACAAGCAGGCTAGTCACCCCACTTTGAACATTACATGATGCACACAACACGTCACACTGCACCCTGTAAATGTGTGCAATTATGTTAAGTGAACAATAAAACTTTTTTTTTCCTTTTTTTCGGAACCAGGGATTGAACTCAGGCCCTTGCACTTGCCAGGCAAGCGCTTATTCAGCTGAGCCATCTTCCCGGCCCCAAAACTTTTTTGAACTTGACAAAATTTTATGGAACTTTTTTTTATTACCTCTGTTCAGAGAATTCAGGAAAAACAGTGATGCTTGATTAGAAAATGGAAAGTGAGAAATATTTTTCCAGAAATACACAGAGAGGGAGGAATGACAGAAAAATGAATGGCATCTCCATCTACTGGGCCTCCCTTCCGGCTTCATCCCTAAAGCCTCTTTCTGCCTGTCTCCACTCTGACAAGTAGATTTTAAATGTTTGTATGGGAAATACACAAAGAAGATTGCCAACAAGCACTTTTTTAAATCTCAAAGATACATTCTTAAGCGAAAAAAAAAAAGTTAAGGTACAAAACATTGTATAGAGGACACTACGACTTGTGACACAAAAATGACCAAACACGTATCTATAAAAACAGAATATAAGCAGGGGAGATAGCTCAGTGGCATAAGCACCTGCCTGGAAAGCGCAAATTTCAATCCCTGATACTGCAAAACACAAACAAGTAAATAAATATAAAAACATAGTATCACTTGATGAAGAGGCAGGACTTCAATAAGGGAAAGAGGGCTGGCAAGATAGCTCAGCAGACTAAGTGCCTGCTTAGACAAAGTCAGGGACCGGGATTTGATGCCTGGCACCACATGCTGCACCGGCCCCATCCCCTAGGCACACTGAGCCTGCCACCCAGTGCCAGTGTGGTGGCACACACCCATAATCCCAGTGCTGGGGAGGCTGAGACAGGAGGATCACTATGAGTCCGAGCTGCATAATGAGATCCTGTACCAAACACATTAAAAAAAAAAAAAAAAAGTAAGAGGAAGAAACAAGACCTAAATTTCTAACTAGGGGAAAACTTTTCACAGTATATCCTTTAGTGAGTTGGGTTGGAACTTTGAGCCAAGTATGTTATTATATATTTTTATTGGGTTTTTGTTTACATGTTTGTTTGAGACAGGGTCTCACTATACAGTCCCAGCTGGTCTTGAACTCACTACGGTACAGCCCAGGTTGACCTCAAACTCACAGTGATCTTCCTGCCTCAGCCTCCCAAGTGCTGCAATTGGGAGCGTGCGCCGCCACACCTGGCTGTTATGTATCTTTAAGTAAATGAAAATGTGGGAGGTTTTTTTTTTTTAAGTAATTTTGAACACCTCAAAGTGGGAACTAAAGTGACAGAGATGCAAGAAGAGGCCACAGAAGTGGACGATATTGGCCAGGGAAAACTGAGCAGCTGTCACCTAGTGCCCTGAAAGGGACAAAGATGCCTGGGAATAAAGCTGAGAGGCCCCAGGCAGGGGAGGCAGCAAGAGAGCCAGGTGTGTGGGGCCAGGTGCAGGGGAAAGACCTGCACAGATGTGGGGATGGAAGCCAGGCTTCAGGGAGAGGAGCAGGAGACGGGGAAGTGGCAGAAGACAAAGGGAAGGGGCCTTTTCCAGAAGCTTGGCGGCAAAAGGAGGAGCTGAGCAGGGAGGAGGTGGAGACCAGTGGGGAGGGAAAGCTGGACGTTTTGTGTTTGTTTGTTTTAATGTATTTAGTACAGGGTCTACAAGGTCTCACTACACAGATTGGACTTGTGATGATCCTCCTGTGTTCAGCCTCCCAAGCGCTGGGATTACAGGCAAGTAACCATGCCCAGTCTCAATCACCAGCTCAGAGCACCCTGGGGATGGGGACAGCACAATACACCAGGGATCGAACCCTGGTCCCTGCGTCTGCCTAAGTAGGCACTTTAATCCGCTGAGTTGAAAAGCTGGTTTTGTGCTATCAGTTTGGGTGGCTGTTTTTTAAATATATTTACACCCAGAAGAAGAGGAGAAATTAAAGATCCTGGAGAGAAATAGAGATTGAAATGTAGGCTCCTCCGCTGGTGCATGAGAGACCCTCCAAAACTCAGATGGAAAAGAGAGGAGCCAGATGTTCTAAAACTGGGATGGAGCCCAGCATGGTGGTGCTCCCCTGTGATCCCAGCACTCGGGAGACTGAGGCAGGAGGATCATTGCGAGTTTGAGACCAGCCTGGGCTACAAAGTGAGCTCAAGGCTAGCCTGAACTGGATAGCGAGATTCTGTCTCAAAAAGAAAAAAAACAAAACAAAAAAAAAAAAAACCAGGGTAGTGCTGTTAAAGAAACATGGACAAGGACAGGAGAAAGAGGAGAATTTTCTTTGTGAAGGAAGGATGGTTATCCCTCAAGAGTGAAGTATAGCCAGTCTTGGTGGCACACATCTGTAATCCCAGAACTCTGGGGAGCAGAGGCAACTTAGCCACCTAGGAAGACCTTCTTCCAAAATATTGGGGGAGGGGGCCCAGTGCAGAAGCTCTGGGTTCTGAGGTAATGTTAAACTAATGTAAAAAATCACTCTGTTCAACTGCGACCCTGTTTCCTTGTAAGACCGCAAAGAGGCTTGGTGTACTATCAGTAAATCTTCAATAGACTGACAGTACCTGGAATAGACCTACAAAATCAAAAGAAAAGGTCGAAATGTTTCTAACTGTACAAAATAACTAAAGTGTTTCTAACCGACTGAAGAGCGTTGCTGAGGTAGTCAAGAGCACAGCAATGATGCTGATGTACATTAAACAGAAACTGAACGAAGCTCCCAGAAAGAGAATGTTGAGCAGTGGTCACGCTGTCCCTGAAGGTGCCGTTCTGTGTTACATGACAAATTTGTTTGCGAAACAGGATGTGGTTTTTTGCTTCAAAAGCTCCTTGGTCCCTGGGTTAGTGGTCAATCAGACTTTGCCTGCATGAGAACTGACTGACAGCCCTGAGCTCGATAAATAAAGGCTCTTTAAATTCCTTTAAAGAGGAATTTATGCTGGTTCTTGTGCTGCACAACCCATAACAGGTTCAATCTCCATTATGGGGGGGAAAAACCATACATACATACATACATACATACATACATACATACATAGAAATAGGGCTTAAGAAAGGAAAACTTTAAAAAAAATAAAAATAAAAAATTCAAAAGAAAAACTATAAAAGGGAGAAACCCCTGCCATTGGTTCTAGAATCAACCTGGAGACCAGCCCAAACCTGGCCAAGCAGATGAACAAAGCATTATAGAAAGCTGCTTGAAACATTTATTCACTCATTCTTTTTTAATAAAAAAAAAACCCAAAAATTGAGGCACAACTAATTTGAAAAGCACACTATGCAATACAACAAATACTGTGAAATCCATATTATTTTGTTTAGTGAAATTCTGAATCATAATTTTACTGTTTCAATAGTACTTTGTACTCTCTTTAAAAAATAAAATATAAAATGTTTGAGGAACAGGATTGCAATAACAACCATGCAAACGGGCGCCAAAATTCCCTCCTTCTGACACTAGCACCCTCCCTTGCAAAATTCCTTCCCCTTGAGAAAGCAGTCCCACTTCAAAGAAACAGAAAATGACGGAAGTCATGAGATGCTAATTATGAGATTAAATGATAAAAAGACTATGAGCTCGCTCTCTCTCTCTCTCTCTCTCTCTCTCTCTCCCCCCCCCCCCCCCCACTTTTAGGCTGCTCAATTCAGGGGAAGTTGTTCAAGCAACAACACACACGAGCCCATGCACCAGTCCACAGCTAACCAGCATCCATTCTCTGCCGGGGCCTGCACGACAGTGAGAAGAGGTAAGAACCGGCCTTAGTCTGCCTCGGGGAAGAACGCCAGGAGGGAGGCGCGGCCAGGCGAAGGCCCTGAGACAGGTGTCGGGGCTGGTCCTTGGGAAGAAAGGTTCCTGGTGGCAGGCGACCCGTGACTGGGAAACCGGGGTATGGACAGTGGAGACGATGCAGGAGGGAGAGCTCACCTCTGAGCTCCTCTGGGACGCGCAGAGGCTGCCGCCGCAGGTCGGAGCCGAACAGGAAGCACTCGCCTTGAACGTACGTGTTCTCCTTGCAGGTCTGGTGCAGCGTGGGACCGCAGGCCTGAGGAGCAGGGCGCCCGTGCAAGCGGCTGGCCCAACTCCTGCCCCTGCGCCAGCTCCCAAGCCGAGACCTGCGTCCCCCCAGGGCCCCATCCCCTCCTCTGGCCCCTCCTGGGTCCTCAGGGCCACTCACCAGCAGCTGGGTGGGATTGGTGGCGGCTGCTAGAGTCAGGCCCAGGGACATGTTCACCGCCTCCGGGGGCACTGAGGAAGCAGACGCGACACATGGGTCACCATTGGGAGCTTAAAGGGGCTGTGCGAGAGCCAGGCAGGAAGGCAAAGGCAGGGAGAAGCTACCTAAAACCCAACAGAGATGGGGAGCCCCCACCACAGAACCCCAGAACACAGACGCCGGGTTGCACCCAGCTCTGGGTCCCAGCCGGGCAGCGACTCACCCTGCAGGGAGACGGGCTCACACCGGCCCGTGCTGTAGTCACACTGGTAGAGGCCACCTGTCTGGTTGGCACCCGTGACCTCCTGGGGGGCTCCGACTACCAACCTGCGGGGAGAGGGGGAACCCAGACAAGGTAGGGACCCTCCCAAGGCTCCTGGATTTCAGTAAGGAGGAAGAATAAGCAAGGAAAAAGTGAGAATTTTTTTTCCAAATAAAGATGCAGAACTCAGAGGACAACTTTAAAGGAACAAAGTCAGCCTGACATGGTGGTGAGACACACCTGTCACATCAGCATTCTGGAAGGCTGAGGCAGAAGGGCTGCAGGTTGGGCAATTTAGTGAGTAACACCCTGTCCCAAAATAAAATTTTACAAAATTAAAAGGGGGCAAGGATGCATCTCAATGTAAAGGCCCTGGGTTCAACCCTCAGTACCATAAATGAATAAATATTCAACCACACTATCATTTTAAATAAATTCCTGGTCATAGCCAGATCTTGGAAACAACCCAAGTGCTCATCAACTGGTGAACGGCTAAAAATGTGGTTGTTGGGACAATGGAGTACTACTGTGCCATAAAGAAGGATAAGCTTGAGACACTTCTAGAAAATGGATGCGTCTTGAGTCCACACTCTTAAGGGAAATAAATTAGACACACATGTGTAAATGCTATGCTGTTTCCCTGGTATGAAAAACCAAATGTGTAAATAAGGTCCAAAATGTATAATAGGTATTGTGAAATAAAAAGAAAATATTCAAATGGAGAGAGGAAGGAAGGGCAGAAGAAAAGAAGAGAAAGGTTTAAAAAATGAGAAAGAGGAAACATGGAAACAAAGCTTTTGTACATGGGGAGGGGAGTGAGGGTGAAAGGAGGGCCTTTGTGCACGGACAAATTCTCTGTGATGAACGTGGTCACCATGTACCAGGGCCAACAAGATAGCTCAGTGAACCAAGTGCCTGCTTAGGCAAGCACAGGGACCCGGCACCACATGCCATCCCAGGCATGCTGAGCCAGCCACCAAGTTGGGGCATGGTGGCGCATGCCTGTAATCCCAGCACTGGGGAGGCTGAGACAGGAGGATCACTACGAGTCTGAGCTGCATAGTGAGAGCCTGTGCCAAATACATAAGTAGATAAACAAATAAAAATAAAATAAAATGTACCAGTTAAATCTGATTAAAAAAGAAAAATAAATAAATTTCTGTACATTATAAACTATTATAAGCAAAGTCAAAGAACAAATGAGAAGCTGGGGGAGCAGGAGACTGAGCCCAGAGAAGCGTTTATCCCACTGAGCCATCTCCCCGACCCAGGAGACTGAGCCCAGACCCACACGACCTCCCTCCATGTAATCAGTGCCTACAAACCCTTATTTTTAAGGGGGGAAGAAAAGAGAAAAGGGGAGCAACAGATAAGAAAAAAGAGAAGTGTTTACAGAAAAGGGAATATATCACTCATTAAAAGCAGTTTGAAACTAAATTGTGAGCCCAGCATGGTGGTGCACACCTGTAACCGCAGCACTGGGGAGGCTGAGGCAGGAGGATGACTGAGAGATCGAGACCAGCCTGAGATACATAGTTCAAGGCCAGCCTGAACTGCATGCGAGGCCCTATCTGAAGAAAGAATGGGGAGGAGGATGAAGAGGAGAAGGAGAGGAGGAGGAGGAAAGGAGAGGGAGAGAATACAGGAGACAGAAGGGGAGGGGGAGGAGGAGGGAAAGAAAGAAAGAAACTAAATTGTGATTTACAACAACTAAATAAGTTTGATAGCACAGTGGAGTGGCAAATGGATGGGAAAGCAGATGTTTCCACAACTTTCCTGTGCAAATCTAGATTACTACTACCCCACAGAGGACAATTTAGAAAAACCTATGAAGGGGCCGGGGAGATAGCTCAGTGGAATAAGCGCTTACCTGGCAAGCACAAGGGCCTGAGTTCAATCCCCGGTTCTGAAAGGAAGGAAGGAAGGAAGGAAGGAAGGAAGGAAGGAAGGAAGGAAGGAAGGAA